AATTCATCATGACTATTTTCACCATTTATTGAAATTACTGTTTTTAAATTGGCAGTTAACTTAACAGTGAGAGTGTGATTACGATTCATGCAACGAAAACTTTAGTTGTTTCTTTGTTTTCTCTAAACTCACTAAATTTACAACTATTAATCGCAACACACTTTTATAAACATCAAAAATGTTCACGTCCATAATTACAAAGATTAAAATAATCTAGCCGATTGAAAATAAAAAAAGGAACTGAACATTAAAACATTGAAACATATGTCCTTGTAACTGGAGTTAACCGAACTTAATTCACAATAAAAGCATATAAAACTAAAAACCTTCCCTGTCTGGACCGTTTGGAGATCCTCGAAGATGCACTCACCGTCAGTGGTCTTGGGATTTCGGCCCAAGTGACCTCGTAGTTCGTCTCGTAGGCCGTCCCAGTTAGAGCGGTTTAAGATGATGTGGTCCGCTTTGTCTGAGCCACTCTGGCAGTGCATGCAGCAGTATCTAAGGGCGCATTCCATGCGGCACAGCTAACAATGAAAGCACCCGTGTCCGGTTACCACTTGCGTCAGGTGGTATTATCAATGGATCTTAGGGGCGTCCTATTCTTCTATCTTGCGATGTTCAGAATTAGATGATGCCTTGGTGGATTCTGTCTATTTCCTTTTCCATTCGGCGATGGTGACCATCCTATCCTCTTTCTTGATCTTGCATATCGATAGTGGAGGGTTACCCGATTTCCACAGAAAAAACGTTTATGACATTATTATTTTTTCACATTGTTTTTACTTTCTTAACACGTTGATTGACAGTTTTGTGGCCGCAGTGGAAAAACAAAAGATCTTTAAAACGTCAATTTTAGTACTGCTGTAGGGTTTTATGCTATAGGGCAGTGTAAAATTGTCCACTGAGATGTCGGGGGACACAATAATCTATCCCCTCATAAGACACCATTGAAAATATCACTGCTATTTAAGTGATGACAATTTTTGGAAGGTTTTTATGATACTGCTATAGCAGTTATATTTAAGTGTCCCCCGACATCAATTTTTGAAATTACTGCTAGGTAGTACTACCCACCAACGTGTTAACAGTCTTGTCATTACCAACCTTTAATAGTTGACCTTTTACTGGTCTCCTATAACATGAGTGTTATCACTTCATGTTCCTCTTTTTTTTTTTTATTCATATATATATATATATTATTCTAATTCATTAATTAATTATACATTTCAAAATTACATGTACTAGATTTATTACATATTTTCTTCGTGTACAACACAGTATGTGTGTAATCGAATCAGATTTAGTATAATGTATCTCTTCACAATTGTCACAAATTAACAATTTTTTTATTTTTCCGGTCTGAATCTTTGAATGTCTTGTGATGAGTGCTTTTGAGTTAAATAATGTAACAGAATTTGAAAATGTTTGCCTCAAATGTGCTGTCTCATCTGTATCCATATGAACAATTAATTCCGACGAATGGCATTCTTTTTTTCGCGTTTAGCTCCCATTTGTAAATATTGATTATGATTATTACGATCTGTATCATGTACAAATTCTGGTTTCACAACACTATTGAATACCACATCATCACAACTAATAAGTGGAATATTCGATACCCGGATTATTTTGGTCGTACAACGGAAGCACTTTTAGTATTATTCACTGTTGACATTTTATAAATTAACACCAATATTCAGATGTCGATAGCTCCTTCAATTATTATCACATAAATGTAAATGAACCGTCAAAATTCATTAAAAATTAAACTGTGCACGAATCATATTTCAAAAATATAGGTTCCCATTTGAATTTTAAAAGTTGACCCTCAAACCTCCCCATCCTAATTAATAAAAAAAATATTTAATATCAAATTAATTTAGATTCTATGATTCAAAACAGTTTTCACATGGGTCATTTTCCCCTAATTTAAATATATCATGCTGAAATCTGCTGTCACATGAAATTTGGAACACCCTGTATATTTAGTATATCATATCTGTAACAAAATTAAATTATATTAATATTAATCTAAACACAATACTACTGTCTAGTTAATATACTTGTATAGTAATATAATATTATATGTACCAAAGAATTTAGCCGACCTCTGTTATTTATTATGTATAATGCATGTATTGTAATAATTATGCACCCTTCAATGTATGTATAAATGTTCAAGTACAGTACAACCATGAACTATAATGATACTATAGTAATGGTCTTAAGATGTAAAAGGTTTTAAATTTATTTTTCAAATGCTGATAGAAACCTAATTGTATCTTATAATATTCCTCAAAATGTTACATAACATATTTTTTAATTTACCTGTTTATAGGTACTTAATCTTTTTTACGTTCATGTGCCTTATGTCACAATATCAGTGAATTCTATTTATTTTAACAATAAACCATTCTAGAACATTGGTTTTCAAACTGGGTGCCGCAAGCATTCACTGAGGTCTTTCGGATAGTTCAACTATTTGTTCAAGAATAAAATTATAAAAAAATGTTTGCTCATCAAGCACACATTTCTAATTAAATGCAGGTACATATATAATTATAATTCAAAACAATTTTGTTCATCCAATTATTTAGTGCAAAAAAAAAGTCACTGTGCAGTGAAAATTTATTGAGAAATAAAAGTTTAATAAAAGTTTGAAAACCACTGGTATAGAATCTAGAGGTATTGGCATTTGCTTAGCTATGGTACGTGCTTTGGTGGATTTGTTTGTAACATCTCAAACGAGGTAACCATCGACGGCAGTCTACAAATATTGAATTTGTAGAGTAATTATTATGGTGCACTACCTTATGTATAATATTATCTTGATTTCAGATTGTATATATTATAGACTATAGTATTATACTATAACAGACTAGTACTAGTAGACTACCTATTTTAATATGATTTATGATCTGAGTATCACATAAAATATATTTAAAACGCCAATTTAGGTGATAACGCTTGCAAAATTATGTGTATATTCTATCACACCAAAAACACTTAGTTATAACTCCGTCTAAAAAAAAGCTAATTTAAAAAAAAAAAAATTAGTCATGATTAAATCTTTAAAAGACGTGATATAATATGGAAATTAAGTAAAATTACATTTTATAATATTACAAATACCTATAATGACAAATAAGATCAATTCTAATGTTAAATACTTAGTCAACATTGATACATTATTAATTACTGTAAATACTGTAGTGATTACTTAACTGTATTTATTTAAGTATACTTCTGCGTCCTGCTAAATAGTTAAGCATAATATGTTGACTAAGCAGGCGCGCACCCAGAATTTTTGCTTGGGGGGGGGGGGCTTAATAATTTTTCTTTTCCCCTTACACACAAGTAAACAATTAAAACTAATTTTTAAATAACCAATTTTGTATATTATTTTCATATGTTATATAATATGTTATATTATTATGTATATAATATTTATATTTATAACTAAATATTATGACTAATGAATTTAAAATTTAAGTTTCCTGGGTCCCTTTTCAGAAAGAATTTTTAATACATCGGATTCTTTAATTTGTATTTCTCGATGTATGTGGAGATTTGCCAGTACATTTAAAAGTGACTGTCCCATTGTGTTCCGGAGGTAGGTTTTAATTCGCCGTAGTGTGGAAAACGACCTCTCAGCCGTACTTGTACTTACTGGTAACGTTGCAAATATTATTTTAAACCATCAATTGCGTTTAGCGGTAAAGTATAACCACAGTTTTTAAATTTTTCATACCACAATTCGAATTCGGCCTTAGCGACAGAAAAACTAATTTGTTGCATATCATTTTCGTAAAAGTCAAAAAGATTTTTAAAACTTGAAATTTGTTCATCTGTTGGATTACGTCCGGTTGGTAAAAGACATTTATAACTTGTTAGGAGATTTTTATGTTTTAAAAATCGATCAGAAAGACTATTAAGAAATGAATCGACCAATGGAATAAAAATTTAACGTCTATAGTATTCTTCAATATTTTCAGATGGTGTATTACATCGCTTAGTTTGGTGTTTTGTTAGTCTAGGTATAGACATAGTCAAGTCTAAATTAGAGGCAACTTCTTGTGCTTCTAAAAATAATTGTTTAAATTCATTGTCGGCATTACTTCTAAGTCGTCGGAGAATAGACACTACACTTTCTACTTGGTTAACTGCAGTTGATAGATCTATATCTGTCGTTTGAAGTATTTTACTTATTGGTAAAGTATAAGCTAATAATTTTTCTCATAACAAAGTAATGAAATAATAAATGTAGATTGACGAATACCATTTAAAAGTAAAAATGCACCTGATGAAGAGTCTTTACAGTTCCGCGATTGAATTTCTTCTAACGCCGCCACTACAGGTAATAAAAGTTGATTAAATAATATTATTGAATCGTGTCGTTCAACCCATCTAGTTGGACATAGTTGAACAAGTTTAGTTTTATTAATATCAGGAACTAAGAGTTGAATTTGATTTTTAAAAATAATTTGACGTTTTGGTGTATTAAAAAACGTGTATACTTTTTCTATAACACCAAAACTATTCCTAATAGGTACTACATCACCAGCATTAGACAAAGCCAAATTTAAGCTGTGTGAAACACAATGTACATAGAGTGCAGTTGGATATTGTTCTATTATAATTATTAAATTTGCCACTCATCGCTGCAGCCCCATCGTAGCCTTGACCGCGTAAATAATTTATATTAATACCTACCACATGAATTCAATGTTGTTAAAAGTACATCTGCTAAATTTTGACCCGAAGTTGATTCTACTGGTACAAATTTTAAAAAATTTTCAACTATTTTAAAATTGTTTACATCGGTTGATTCAATATATCTTATACACAATGCGAATTGTTCAATAGAGGAAATATCAGAAGTTTCGTCAGCGAGTATAGTAAAACATTTAGAAAAGCTATATTTTAGAAAAACACCAGATGATAAAAAAATTGCCCGGAAATGGTTATCAGTGTTCTGTATTGGTAATGAGCTTAAAGCAATGTACTGTCCATTTTGTATTGCTTTTAGTTCATCTGCTACCATGTTTTCTAAGGGTTGTAATAACTTTAAACATATTTATGAAGTTGTTAAAATACACGAAGATTCTTTAACACACAGACGCTCTGTAGAAGCGTTTATTCAATCCACTAACGAAAAATCCATTGAATTTGGTATTAATAACAATTTAATGACATTAAAGAAAAATCAAATTCTAGAAAATATCCATGTTATAAACGAAATATTTGAAATTATAAAATTACTTGGTCGTCAAAATTTACCATTTAGAGGTTCTAAAAATTCTGAAAGCTTATACAAATGGAATGATGAAGACAATCTAAATAAAGGAATTTTTTTGGAGTTGGTACAGTTTACTGCTAAACGAGATGCTACACTGTACAAACATTTGAATACTGCCATAGAAAATAGCAAACACAGAAAAGCAAATTTGGAAAAGAAATCATTGGTTTCTTGTGGTAGGGGTTCACTTGTAACTTTACTGTCTAAAAATACAGCGAATAAAGTTATTCTATCTATTGTGAAGTCAATAAGAGATAAAATTAAATTGGAATTAGGTGAACAACATTTTAGTTTGCAGATTGATAGTACACAAGATGTTAGTGTTGTAGATCAGGCAGCAGTGTGCATCCGGTATATTTATGAAGGAGAAGTAAAAGAAAGGCTATTAGCCTTATTAAAAGTGGTAGATTCTTCTGGAAATGGCTATTATAATATGTTAAAACAACTTTTTTCTGAACATTCGATTAAGTTCAACAATATCATTGGTGAATCATTTGATGGAGCAGCAAACATGAGAGGGGAGTACTCTGGTCTAAATCCAAAATTAAAAACCAAGAAAACCCAAAAGCCATTTATATATGGTGTTACAGTCATTTACTCAATTTATGCATATGTGATACTTGTAAAAGTTTGGATGCTAAGAATTTATTTGGATTTTTGAATCGATTATCAACATTTTTTAGTGAATCATATAAACGTATGCTTGTTTGGTTACAAGAAATTAATTCAAGTTTGGGTTCAAATAAATTAAAAAAATTTCAAAAAATAGGGAAAATAATACACGATGGTGGCCTCGAGAAAAAGCGTTGTATTGGATATTTGATGGAGATCAGTGTCTTTTTCCAATCTTTATTTGTGATTTACATCATATTTCCATTTCTAGTAACTTTGAACCTAAAGTTTGTTTTGAAGCATCTTCTTTATTACATGTTTTATGTAACTTTAAAATAATTCTTACGGCTCATTTATTTTTGAATATCTTTAAAATTGTTGGACCAACTTCTCGTTACCTTCAGACAAAAGGTATGGATTTATTATCAGATTGGGGTATGATAGATTCTATAAAACAAGAAATTGGATGGCTAAGTTTTGACTGTATTTTAAACAAATCTATACATTTTTCGAATAATATTAATGATTTACTTAGTAGTATGAATCTCCCTGATGATATATTAGTTTCAAGTACGTTTCCTGTTACAAGGAAAAGCAGAAAAAAGAGAATGTATGATGAAATATGCGAAGATGAATCACCAGAATTACCACTAGACAAGTTTAGAGTAGATACATATCAAACAATAGTTGACCAGATAACTATAAGTTTAAATGAACGTTTTACTGACAACAATAAATTGATAGCAGATGTTCAGTACTTATTACCTAAAAATTTTAAACTAATTGAACAAATGCCAAATACTGCATTAAAACATTTGGAAAATTTAGCAAATTTAGAACACATACAACTTGGTTTAGAACTTAAAAACTTATCTAAAGTTTATCCAAAGATAAACATGTCTACAATAGATAAAACTAAACAAATATACCATCAGCTTGATACTGAATCAGATGAAAATACAGATGACAATGAAGAGAATATGTATGAGAATACAGCATTTCCTTGTAAGTAAAATTAAAATAAAAAGCGTTTAAAAAGTAGTGTTAATAATTATAATAATGTATAAAAGTTTTTCGATATAGACATTTATTTCCACTTATTAATTATTATTATTATTATGCTGTGCATTTGAATTAAAGTGCATTTTTTTTTGGTAATAGTGAAACTTAGTTTTGTAAGTACATAATTTGAATTATGTAATTACGCATTGTCGGACTTTTTCAAAAAGGCCCAGTCTGCGATTTGGAAAAAAGTGCCCAGCCAACAGGAAATGGCAAATGTTTTGATCAGCCCAAAAAAAAAACTCGCTCTCAATCCAATTTTCATGTACATAGTCACATAGAACATTTTTTTTTCAATTCAATTTCTATCCTTCATATTTATCATACAGCACAAATAACTAAAAACAACTGAAATTCAATCATTCGATATATTAACTGGTATTACTATACTTTAAATATAAAAGGTATATTAGGCATATTTTCAAATGCTAAGACATTTTCTGCAGGTCGTTAGTAAATTGATGACAAGAGACCTATCTGAGGTTTTTATTATCAGACAGGGGAAATCCCTCCTATTCAACCCCCCAATTACGCCACTGGGGTATACCGGCTACATCACGTTCTGTGACATCAAACATTATAAAGAAAAACGCCGATTCAAATTGTGTCAAACTGTGCACTAGTACAATACTTATCCAAAATATAATAATTCAGTTAAAATCAGTTATAATGCGAAATAATACCAAGTCATACGCATACGCCCGTATAAATATAATATAATATTATTTAAGATCATGTCAGAGCACTATTTGTTTTATCTCTCTGGCAAACGCGCAACATAGGCATAACGCATTACGCAGAATCATTTTTTCTATGTTTTGCAGTAAGTAATCTTAGAGTAAAATCACCTATTCGTCGCCTCAGAATGAAAAGGTTCTAAATCAATTTTTTTGAAAAATGGTTTTTTTGCATATAATCATTTATAATTTTTTGTTGTATAATTCAATCTTGAAATCGGATCGATCCGTTGATTATTCAATGAGATACAGAGAATGAAAAGGTTCTAACTCATAAAAACGTGAATGATAAGCGCGAAACCGAGAAATATCAGTTACAACCTTTTCATTCTAAACAATAATTAAGAATGAAATAGTTCTAAACGGTCTTAAATGTAATATCTCAGAATGAAAAGGTACCGTTATAATACGGTTATACCACTGGTACAATATAAATTATTATTGTGCCATAATAAAATATTATTCCAGCATTCCAGCATAAATGTACCGTCTATTTTTGTTTTGTTGAGGTGATAAGGTAGGTAATACCTACATGCCACATGTATATAGTACCTACTTTAGTATTATAAGAAATGGTACATTTAAATTTGAATTACGTTTTTGACATTTTTCATTATTGTGAAGTATGATTTATGCCGTTTAATTTATATTGTTGCGTTTTCAATATACCCCCCTTCCCTACACTTATTGCGCCAATGGACCATACAATTGTAACTTATTACTTATAGTAGGTATGTCCAGGCACATACACAACAAAAAAATTCCGGGGGGTGGGGGGACCCCCCGCCACTACATGAACGGGTATGTTATAATATAATAATACTTAACTTAAAAACTAAAAATATTGCATAATAAAAAAATGTATAATTTATAACATAGTTTACACTAGAAGTTGGTATCACTGCATAGAAAAAATGATTCAAATCAGAATGAAAAAGTTCTAACTAAATAAATAATTTTTATTTTCAGAATGAATAAGTTCTACACGTAAAACATTTTAATTCTAAAACTAATATTTTTGTTTTTTATGATTAACTCAGTCAATAATTGAGAAAAGACAAATTGCAGGTAAAGTTGTGTTCTTTGGAAATTCTTGATATTCCAACAATTTTCACGATTTAGTAATTATGGTGAAAAAAGTTATTCAATGTCCTACTTAAAAACTTCCCCTGAACAATTACATAAATTGCGTTAGACCTTTCCATCTGAGAAGACGTATTACAAAAGAGTTAGAGAATAATATTTTTGAAGGAGTTGAATCATATCGATTTAGCTAAATATTTAATTGCCAGGTAAAATGCGTGAAAATTTAATACAAGACTCTTAATATATTGTTTCAAACACAGATGAAATATATTATTAAAAACCAATATCACAATTTTTTTTTCTAAGTATTTAAAAATTAAATATGGATAAAGTATAATAAAATGTGCAAATTATTTTGAGCTTCTTATTTTGTTGTAATTCAAAAACAAATAACTGGCAAATTCAAATTTAAATTTTATTAGTTTTTTTTCTATAAATTTCAATAAAGTTTCTTAATTGTTGGGCCAAAAAGCACGAAAAATTGATACAAGGCTCCTGATATTTTGGAACAATAGCAAATTGAAAAATATTAAAAATACATATGTCCACATAGTTCGCGCGATATTCACATTTATGTTTCAGTACATTTTGTGTCATATTAAATAAAGTTAAATATATTAAAATGTCAAACAGTATATTGTTTTTAATGTTCAAAATACAACACTATCTACTAGAAAATATACTGAAGTTTAAAGTATTTTTTCAACTACTTTTTGTGTATTTATTATACTTGTATATTATTAAAATGATAACTGTTTCGCAGATCAAGAAAATGTTTTCTCTACGTAAGTTACCCTACTATTTTTGCGATGAAGAAGAAAGAACATTTTAAGACGATTTAGAGACCATAGAAATCGACATTCAACATTGTTGTATTGATTTGTTGAGATTTTTAAAAATTGAGACAAAATCAAATATTATGAATGACAATATTGATTTAAACTATGACGGTAAGTCTAAAGATAGCGTAGATAAATGATATGGTCTGTGCGAATATAACGCAAAAAGAACGACTGTTTAGCACATTTTTAGTGTCGCACTATTTACCCTTTTTTACATAAATCAACCAAAGATCCTTATTAATTGATGTTTAAATCAAAAGTTAAATACCACCCGGGTCAATCACTTTCATATCTCTTTATCCGAGCCTGCAGTATACATACGATAACGATCGATCGTATTGGGGCAAATAATAATAATGCTCGTGAATGAGGGTAGGGATTTTGAGCTCTGAAAGTATTTATTCAAATAGTAGTGCCAGGTCGTTTGGAAGATTTCTCCAAATATGTTGTTTAATATATTTGTTATAATGGTCAAACTTTATTTTTTTTTTAGAATACTCGATGATTGAGAAGGTCACAGGTAGTTCGCCGAAAGTCACGGGTTCCCATGGACGTGAACCGTGGGCATGCTGGCGGCTGCCAATAGACAGCTCGAGTGCCTTAAGTACGCACACGACCGGGGCTGTCCATGGGACGAGTCGGTATGTGAGTACGCCACGGCCAACAGCAACCTGGAGTGCTTTAGGTACGCCCGAGAAAAGGGTTGTCCATGGGACTTGTACGCGTGTGAAAAAACGGCCAGAAGTAGGCAATTTGTGTGTCTGGCGTACCTTAAAGACAACGGCTGCCTTTGGGACATGTCCACGTGTGACGAGGCAGCGTCAAACGGGCACGGCCAATGTCTGGAATACGCGCTGGAAAACGGTTGCGAGTAGGACGGACGCATTCCATGGTAATATTATATCAATGTATTATCATGATAACCAAAAATTCATTGTCTATCCTGGTTGAAATCGAAATTTTGTATTTTTTCATTTTCCTTCAGGTGAAATCGGGTTATACAACTAAAGTTGGAGTTCATCCGAAGTTAAAAGCCTCAAAAAATGACTAGACGGTTTTCAATAAAAGTGTACAGTGTAACCTTAGTGTAAATTTTAGTATATTGCAGTTGTTCATGATTTAGACATTTTATATAGCATACGATAAGTAATAGTTGAAATTAGATAACAAATGTTTGGATAGACCCTGGTACGCCTGTATAATACTTGCTTTGGAGTTCTCATTTTTTTTTTATGAATAATACCTAGGTACCTTTAATAATTCGTTTTAACGAACATTCTTGTATCATTTTTTGATTTAATTTTCTGATATCGTCATATAATTTGATATTATTTTTTTTTTTTTTTTTAATTATCTTCTTTCAGTTATTTAACTATTTTATTTTTTGTAACCGAGAGCAACCTTATAACAAACGAAATTCAATATTAACATATTATATTTTGGCCGAACCTGTTGTATTTTTGGCATTCTGATTTACCTACTTTAGATTTAATTAAAATTTTTTTTTCATTCAAACTTTGTCTACAGCCACAAAAAAAAAGAAAAAAATAATTAGCCAAAAAGAGTGAAGTGATGCGTGGACAAACATTTGGGGCTTTTGATTTTATTTATTGATTTATATTATTCAAGTATAAGATAAAAGAATGACAGTCCAAAAAAAAAAACCTTTTAGTAGGTAAATAGGTACACAAGTACTTTTTACAAATAAAGTTAAATATATTAAAATGTCAAACAGTATATTGTTTTTAATGTTCAAAATACAACACTATCTACTAGAAAATATACTGAAGTTTAAAGTATTTTTTCAACTACTTTTTGTGTATTTATTATACTTGTATATTATTAAAATGATAACTGTTTCGCAGATCAAGAAAATGTTTTCTCTACGTAAGTTACCCTACTATTTTTGCGATGAAGAAGAAAGAACATTTTATGACGATTTAGAGACCATAGAAATCGACATTCAACATTGTTGTATTGATTTGTTGAGATTTTTAAAAATTGAGACAAAATCAAATATTATGAATGACAATATTGATTTAAACTATGACGGTAAGTCTAAAGATAGCGTAGATAAATGATATGGTCTGTGCGAATATAACGCAAAAAGAACGACTGTTTAGCACATTTTTAGTGTCGCACTATTTACCCTTTTTTACATAAATCAACCAAAGATCCTTATTAATTGATGTTTAAATCAAAAGTTAAATACCACCCGGGTCAATCACTTTCATATCTCTTTATCCGAGCCTGCAGTATACATACGATAACGATCGATCGTATTGGGGCAAATAATAATAATGCTCGTGAATGAGGGTAGGGATTTTGAGCTCTGAAAGTATTTATTCAAATAGTAGTGCCAGGTCGTTTGGAAGATTTCTCCAAATATGTTGTTTAATATATTTGTTATAATGGTCAAACTTTATTTTTTTTTTAGAATACTCGATGATTGAGAAGGTCACAGGTAGTTCGCCGAAAGTCACGGGTTCCCATGGACGTGAACCGTGGGCATGCTGGCGGCTGCCAATAGACAGCTCGAGTGCCTTAAGTACGCACACGACCGGGGCTGTCCATGGGACGAGTCGGTATGTGAGTACGCCACGGCCAACAGCAACCTGGAGTGCTTTAGGTACGCCCGAGAAAAGGGTTGTCCATGGGACTTGTACGCGTGTGAAAAAACGGCCAGAAGTAGGCAATTTGTGTGTCTGGCGTACCTTAAAGACAACGGCTGCCTTTGGGACATGTCCACGTGTGACGATAGGCAGCGTCAAACGGGCACGGCCAATGTCTGGAATACGCGCTGGAAAACGGTTGCGAGTAGGACGGACGCATTCCATGGTAATATTATCTCAATGTATTATCATGATAACCAAAAATTCATTGTCTATCCTGGTTGAAATCGAAATTTTGTATTTTTTCATTTTCCTTCAGGTGAAATCGGGTTATACAACTAAAGTTGGAGTTCATCCGAAGTTAAAAGCCTCAAAAAATGACTAGACGGTTTTCAATAAAAGTGTACAGTGTAACCTTAGTGTAAATTTTAGTATATTGCAGTTGTTCATGATTTAGACATTTTATATAGCATACGATAAGTAATAGTTGAAATTAGATAACAAATGTTTGGATAGACCCTGGTACGCCTGTATAATACTTGCTTTGGAGTTCTCATTTTTTTTTTATGAATAATACCTAGGTACCTTTAATAATTCGTTTTAACGAACATTCTTGTATCATTTTTTGATTTAATTTTCTGATATCGTCATATAATTTGATATTATTTTTTTTTTTTTTTTTAATTATCTTCTTTCAGTTATTTAACTATTTTATTTTTTGTAACCGAGAGCAACCTTATAACAAACGAAATTCAATATTAACATATTATATTTTGGCCGAACCTGTTGTATTTTTGGCATTCTGATTTACCTACTTTAGATTTAATTAAAATTTTTTTTTCATTCAAACTTTGTCTACAGCCACAAAAAAAAAGAAAAAAATAATTAGCCAAAAAGAGTGAAGTGATGCGTGGACAAACATTTGGGGCTTTTGATTTTATTTATTGATTTATATTATTCAAGTATAAGATAAAAGAATGACAGTCCAAAAAAAAAACCTTTTAGTAGGTAAATAGGTACACAAGTACTTTTTACAAATAAAGTTAAATATATTAAAATGTCAAACAGTATATTGTTTTTAATGTTCAAAATACAACACTATCTACTAGAAAATATACTGAAGTTTAAAGTATTTTTTCAACTACTTTTTGTGTATTTATTATACTTGTATATTATTAAAATGATAACTGTTTCGCAGATCAAGAAAATGTTTTCTCTACGTAAGTTACCCTACTATTTTTGCGATGAAGAAGAAAGAACATTTTATGACGATTTAGAGACCATAGAAATCGACATTCAACATTGTTGTATTGATTTGTTGAGATTTTTAAAAATTGAGACAAAATCAAATATTATGAATGACAATATTGATTTAAACTATGACGGTAAGTCTAAAGATAGCGTAGATAAATGATATGGTCTGTGCGAATATAACGCAAAAAGAACGACTGTTTAGCACATTTTTAGTGTCGCACTATTTACCCTTTTTTACATAAATCAACCAAAGATCCTTATTAATTGATGTTTAAATCAAAAGTTAAATACCACCCGGGTCAATCACTTTCATATCTCTTTATCCGAGCCTGCAGTATACATACGATAACGATCGATCGTATTGGGGCAAATAATAATAATGCTCGTGAATGAGGGTAGGGATTTTGAGCTCTGAAAGTATTTATTCAAATAGTAGTGCCAGGTCGTTTGGAAGATTTCTCCAAATATGTTGTTTAATATATTTGTTATAATGGTCAAACTTTATTTTTTTTTTAGAATACTCGATGATTGAGAAGGTCACAGGTAGTTCGCCGAAAGTCACGGGTTCCCATGGACGTGAACCGTGGGCATGCTGGCGGCTGCCAATAGACAGCTCGAGTGCCTTAAGTACGCACACGACCGGGGCTGTCCATGGGACGAGTCGGTATGTGAGTACGCCACGGCCAACAGCAACCTGGAGTGCTTTAGGTACGCCCGAGAAAAGGGTTGTCCATGGGACTTGTACGCGTGTGAAAAAACGGCCAGAAGTAGGCAATTTGTGTGTCTGGCGTACCTTAAAGACAACGGCTGCCTTTGGGACATGTCCACGTGTGACGAGGCAGCGTCAAACGGGCACGGCCAATGTCTGGAATACGAGCTGGAAAACGGTTGCGAGTAGGACGGACGCATTCCATGGTAATATTATATCAATGTATTATCATGATAACCAAAAATTCATTGTCTATCCTGGTTGAAATCGAAATTTTGTATTTTTTCATTTTCCTTCAGGTGAAATCGGGTTATACAACTAAAGTTGGAGTTCATCCGAAGTTAAAAGCCTCAAAAAATGACTAGACGGTTTTCAATAAAAGTGTACAGTGTAACCTTAGTGTAAATTTTAGTATATTGCAGTTGTTCATGATTTAGACATTTTATATAGCATACGATAAGTAATAGTTGAAATTAGATAACAAATGTTTGGATAGACCCTGGTACGCCTGTATAATACTTGCTTTGGAGTTCTCATTTTTTTTTTATGAATAATACCTAGGTACCTTTAATAATTCGTTTTAACGAACATTCTTGTATCATTTTTTGATTTAATTTTCTGATATCGTCATATAATTTGATATTATTTTTTTTTTTTTTTTTAATTATCTTCTTTCAGTTATTTAACTATTTTATTTTTTGTAACCGAGAGCAACCTTATAACAAACGAAATTCAATATTAACATATTATATTTTGGCCGAACCTGTTGTATTTTTGGCATTCTGATTTACCTACTTTAGATTTAATTAAAATTTTTTTTTCATTCAAACTTTGTCTACAGCCACAAAAAAAAAGAAAAAAATAATTAGCCAAAAAGAGTGAAGTGATGCGTGGACAAACATTTGGGGCTTTTGATTTTATTTATTGATTTATATTATTCAAGTATAAGATAAAAGAATGACAGTCCAAAAAAAAAACCTTTTAGTAGGTAAATAGGTACACAAGTACTTTTTACAAATAAAGTTAAATATATTAAAATGTCAAACAGTATATTGTTTTTAATGTTCAAAATACAACACTATCTACTAGAAAATATACTGAAGTTTAAAGTATTTTTTCAACTACTTTTTGTGTATTTATTATACTTGTATATTATTAAAATGATAACTGTTTCGCAGATCAAGAAAATGTTTTCTCTACGTAAGTTACCCTACTATTTTTGCGATGAAGAAGAAAGAACATTTTATGACGATTTAGAGACCATAGAAATCGACATTCAACATTGTTGTATTGATTTGTTGAGATTTTTAAAAATTGAGACAAAATCAAATATTATGAATGACAATATTGATTTAAACTATGACGGTAAGTCTAAAGATAGCGTAGATAAATGATATGGTCTGTGCGAATATAACGCAAAAAGAACGACTGTTTAGCACATTTTTAGTGTCGCACTATTTACCCTTTTTTACATAAATCAACCAAAGATCCTTATTAATTGATGTTTAAATCAAAAGTTAAATACCACCCGGGTCAATCACTTTCATATCTCTTTATCCGAGCCTGCAGTATACATACGATAACGATCGATCGTATTGGGGCAAATAATAATAATGCTCGTGAATGAGGGTAGGGATTTTGAGCTCTGAAAGTATTTATTCAAATAGTAGTGCCAGGTCGTTTGGAAGATTTCTCCAAATATGTTGTTTAATATATTTGTTATAATGGTCAAACTTTATTTTTTTTTTAGAATACTCGATGATTGAGAAGGTCACAGGTAGTTCGCCGAAAGTCACGGGTTCCCATGGACGTGAACCGTGGGCATGCTGGCGGCTGCCAATAGACAGCTCGAGTGCCTTAAGTACGCACACGACCGGGGCTGTCCATGGGACGAGTCGGTATGTGAGTACGCCACGGCCAACAGCAACCTGGAGTGCTTTAGGTACGCCCGAGAAAAGGGTTGTCCATGGGACTTGTACGCGTGTGAAAAAACGGCCAGAAGTAGGCAATTTGTGTGTCTGGCGTACCTTAAAGACAACGGCTGCCTTTGGGACATGTCCACGTGTGACGATAGGCAGCGTCAAACGGGCACGGCCAATGTCTGGAATACGCGCTGGAAAACGGTTGCGAGTAGGACGGACGCATTCCATGGTAATATTATCTCAATGTATTATCATGATAACCAAAAATTCATTGTCTATCCTGGTTGAAATCGAAATTTTGTATTTTTTCATTTTCCTTCAGGTGAAATCGGGTTATACAACTAAAGTTGGAGTTCATCCGAAGTTAAAAGCCTCAAAAAATGACTAGACGGTTTTCAATAAAAGTGTACAGTGTAACCTTAGTGTAAATTTTAGTATATTGCAGTTGTTCATGATTTAGACATTTTATATAGCATACGATAAGTAATAGTTGAAATTAGATAACAAATGTTTGGATAGACCCTGGTACGCCTGTATAATACTTGCTTTGGAGTTCTCATTTTTTTTTTATGAATAATACCTAGGTACCTTTAATAATTCGTTTTAACGAACATTCTTGTATCATTTTTTGATTTAATTTTCTGATATCGTCATATAATTTGATATTATTTTTTTTTTTTTTTTTAATTATCTTCTTTCAGTTATTTAACTATTTTATTTTTTGTAACCGAGAGCAACCTTATAACAAACGAAATTCAATATTAACATATTATATTTTGGCCGAACCTGTTGTATTTTTGGCATTCTGATTTACCTACTTTAGATTTAATTAAAATTTTTTTTTCATTCAAACTTTGTCTACAGCCACAAAAAAAAAGAAAAAAATAATTAGCCAAAAAGAGTGAAGTGATGCGTGGACAAACATTTGGGGCTTTTGATTTTATTTATTGATTTATATTATTCAAGTATAAGATAAAAGAATGACAGTCCAAAAAAAAAACCTTTTAGTAGGTAAATAGGTACACAAGTACTTTTTACAAATAAAGTTAAATATATTAAAATGTCAAACAGTATATTGTTTTTAATGTTCAAAATACAACACTATCTACTAGAAAATATACTGAAGTTTAAAGTATTTTTTCAACTACTTTTTGTGTATTTATTATACTTGTATATTATTAAAATGATAACTGTTTCGCAGATCAAGAAAATGTTTTCTCTACGTAAGTTACCCTACTATTTTTGCGATGAAGAAGAAAGAACATTTTATGACGATTTAGAGACCATAGAAATCGACATTCAACATTGTTGTATTGATTTGTTGAGATTTTTAAAAATTGAGACAAAATCAAATATTATGAATGACAATATTGATTTAAACTATGACGGTAAGTCTAAAGATAGCGTAGATAAATGATATGGTCTGTGCGAATATAACGCAAAAAGAACGACTGTTTAGCACATTTTTAGTGTCGCACTATTTACCCTTTTTTACATAAATCAACCAAAGATCCTTATTAATTGATGTTTAAATCAAAAGTTAAATACCACCCGGGTCAATCACTTTCATATCTCTTTATCCGAGCCTGCAGTATACATACGATAACGATCGATCGTATTGGGGCAAATAATAATAATGCTCGTGAATGAGGGTAGGGATTTTGAGCTCTGAAAGTATTTATTCAAATAGTAGTGCCAGGTCGTTTGGAAGATTTCTCCAAATATGTTGTTTAATATATTTGTTATAATGGTCAAACTTTATTTTTTTTTTAGAATACTCGATGATTGAGAAGGTCACAGGTAGTTCGCCGAAAGTCACGGGTTCCCATGGACGTGAACCGTGGGCATGCTGGCGGCTGCCAATAGACAGCTCGAGTGCCTTAAGTACGCACACGACCGGGGCTGTCCATGGGACGAGTCGGTATGTGAGTACGCCACGGCCAACAGCAACCTGGAGTGCTTTAGGTACGCCCGAGAAAAGGGTTGTCCATGGGACTTGTACGCGTGTGAAAAAACGGCCAGAAGTAGGCAATTTGTGTGTCTGGCGTACCTTAAAGACAACGGCTGCCTTTGGGACATGTCCACGTGTGACGATAGGCAGCGTCAAACGGGCACGGCCAATGTCTGGAATACGCGCTGGAAAACGGTTGCGAGTAGGACGGACGCATTCCATGGTAATATTATCTCAATGTATTATCATGATAACCAAAAATTCATTGTCTATCCTGGTTGAAATCGAAATTTTGTATTTTTTCATTTTCCTTCAGGTGAAATCGGGTTATACAACTAAAGTTGGAGTTCATCCGAAGTTAAAAGCCTCAAAAAATGACTAGACGGTTTTCAATAAAAGTGTACAGTGTAACCTTAGTGTAAATTTTAGTATATTGCAGTTGTTCATGATTTAGACATTTTATATAGCATACGATAAGTAATAGTTGAAATTAGATAACAAATGTTTGGATAGACCCTGGTACGCCTGTATAATACTTGCTTTGGAGTTCTCATTTTTTTTTTATGAATAATACCTAGGTACCTTTAATAATTCGTTTTAACGAACATTCTTGTATCATTTTTTGATTTAATTTTCTGATATCGTCATATAATTTGATATTATTTTTTTTTTTTTTTTTAATTATCTTCTTTCAGTTATTTAACTATTTTATTTTTTGTAACCGAGAGCAACCTTATAACAAACGAAATTCAATATTAACATATTATATTTTGGCCGAACCTGTTGTATTTTTGGCATTCTGATTTACCTACTTTAGATTTAATTAAAATTTTTTTTTCATTCAAACTTTGTCTACAGCCACAAAAAAAAGAAAAAAATAATTAGCCAAAAAGAGTGAAGTGATGCGTGGACAAACATTTGGGGCTTTTGATTTTATTTATTGATTTATATTATTCAAGTATAAGATAAAAGAATGACAGTCCAAAAAAAAAAACCTTTTAGTAGGTAAATAGGTACACAAGTACTTTTTACAAATAAAGTTAAATATATTAAAATGTCAAACAGTATATTGTTTTTAATGTTCAAAATACAACACTATCTACTAGAAAATATACTGAAGTTTAAAGTATTTTTTCAACTACTTTTTGTGTATTTATTATACTTGTATATTATTAAAATGATAACTGTTTCGCAGATCAAGAAAATGTTTTCTCTACGTAAGTTACCCTACTATTTTTGCGATGAAGAAGAAAGAACATTTTATGACGATTTAGAGACCATAGAAATCGACATTCAACATTGTTGTATTGATTTGTTGAGATTTTTAAAAATTGAGACAAAATCAAATATTATGAATGACAATATTGATTTAAACTATGACGGTAAGTCTAAAGATAGCGTAGATAAATGATATGGTCTGTGCGAATATAACGCAAAAAGAACGACTGTTTAGCACATTTTTAGTGTCGCACTATTTACCCTTTTTTACATAAATCAACCAAAGATCCTTATTAATTGATGTTTAAATCAAAAGTTAAATACCACCCGGGTCAATCACTTTCATATCTCTTTATCCGAGCCTGCAGTATACATACGATAACGATCGATCGTATTGGGGCAAATAATAATAATGCTCGTGAATGAGGGTAGGGATTTTGAGCTCTGAAAGTATTTATTCAAATAGTAGTGCCAGGTCGTTTGGAAGATTTCTCCAAATATGTTGTTTAATATATTTGTTATAATGGTCAAACTTTATTTTTTTTTTAGAATACTCGATGATTGAGAAGGTCACAGGTAGTTCGCCGAAAGTCACGGGTTCCCATGGACGTGAACCGTGGGCATGCTGGCGGCTGCCAATAGACAGCTCGAGTGCCTTAAGTACGCACACGACCGGGGCTGTCCATGGGACGAGTCGGTATGTGAGTACGCCACGGCCAACAGCAACCTGGAGTGCCTTAGGTACGCCTTAGGTAACATATTATATTTTGGCCGAACCTGTTGTGTTTTTGGCATTCTGATTTACCTACTTTAGATTTAATTAAAATGTTTTTTTCATACAAATTTTTTCTACGGCCACAAAAAAAAAAAAATTAATTAGATAAATAAGATGATGCGTTTACAACCATTTGTTGCCTTTGATTTTTATTCAAGTATAAGATAAAAGAATGACAATTCAAAAAAAAAACCTTTTCTATGTAAATTGGTCCACAAGTACTTTTTAGATGTATTTAAAAAACTATTATTAAAAAATGTATTACACCATAATTTTGTTAAGGAATCAAGCAGTTTTATTTTTGCATTCGATTTAATTTTTTTTGTTTTTATTGGATGTACAAAACAAGTATTTATAACGCGTTGAACACGTTTATTTAAATACAACTGAGTGGATCATTCTAATATTCTATTTGTTTAATTTTTTTATTTAATGACCTCGAGTAGCCTGTAACTTATTAATTACACAACAACAATAATTACTAAATATCTAATTTAGACAGCAATCATACTGTAATTTATATTTTAATATTTGTTACGCCCTAAAAACTCCAACGCATTCAAAGTTCGATTTTGACAACATTTATTAAATTTAAGATCTATAACGATTACGTAGTTAACAATGTATAAAATGTTCAACATATATAACCACGGGTTCAACATTTAAGACATGGTTCTACTTTAACCAAAATATCTCAAAAATACATATAAAAACACAGTTTAATTTTATAGTTATTTTATGTTCCAATTTGGATATACCTAATTACATATTACATAAACACGAATAATAATTTTAGGTAGTTATTTTGTTGTTATTGTGTAATATTAATTCAACTTAACTTACTTTTAAATTATTAAAAGAGAACATTTCTAGTAGCGTCAAAAGCATTGGGAAAAATAATAAAAAAATAAGGAAAAACGATCATTTCTATTTCAGGTTTTGACAAAATCTATTTTGTTTTTAACAAAAATTTGAAATCAACTGTAACTACTTACTTAAATGTATTTGTATTACCAAAATACATATTAAGTTTAATGTTACAAACAGAAATATTTTTAATTCTAAAATAATTAATATTGCAATTAAATTATGGTGTTCATAAATTCAAATTTTGCAGTGCCGTTTACACATATTATACTAAAACATAGTCAAACAGTCGCGGATGGTAGGTAGGCTGTGAAAATAATCGTAAGATATGTTATTTATCAAAGTATCGCATTTATGTATTCGATATTCATATGATTGTACCGAGATACAAGATACAATCTTATCTAAGATACGTGC